ACTACTACTGCTACTACTACTACTAATAATAATAATAATGATAAGAGTACTACTAATATTAATACTACTACTACTAATAATAATAATAAGAAAAATAACAATAATATTAACAATAATAACAGTAATAACAATAACAATGATAAAGATAATAATGAAAATAATAATGATGATAATAATAGTAATAACGACGCCAACACGAACAACGATAATAATGATTGACTAATGATAATCATGATAATACTAACAGTAATAACAATGATAATAGTAACAATAATAATAATGCTACCAGTAATAACAATGATAATGCTAAATATAATGATATCGATAATAATAATAATAATAATAATAATGATGATAATAATAATAATAATAATAATAATAACAATAATAATAATAATAAAAATGATGATGGTGATAATAATAATAGTAATAACGGTAATAATAATAGTAATAGTAGTATTGGTAGTAATAACATTACTACTGATCATTATGATAATAATCGCGTTGAAAATAATACCAAATAATATAATGATGATAGTTGTGAGGATAATGACGATGATGATAGTAATAATAATTTGAGTGTGTGCTATAAAGTTCAAAAGGGATGTTATCTCCCATGGTTATTTGGCGAGCGCGTCATAAAACAGACACAATCGCACATGAACAACCATTTCACTCTATGTATTTGCTTTGGTTAACTGCTCAATATCAACTGCTTCATTCATTCAAGTTTCAGGAAAGGTCCACTGAAATTTAGGCGAGTTGATGCATTCATCACTACTGCCACTATAAGCTATAATATATATATATATATATATATATATATATATATATATATATATATATATATGTATATATATATATATATATATATTTTTTTTTTTTTTTTTTTTTTTTTTTTATTATTTTTTTTTTTTTTATTAAGGCAGTACTTAAGGGTTCTGTAAAATGCCACATTGCTAATATCACACTAACAATTCACATCCTACGAATCATTGTAATTGTAATTGGTAAATTATCCTTTAAACCTTAAAATGACGTAATATCCATGGACAAGAATGATATTCAACTACGGGATTACTCTCACAAGTGTATATATATATTTATTTTTCCTTTTGGGATCTTACATATGTATTGATATATACATGTGTGTGTTTCTATATGCATATATATATGTATGCATGCATATATATGTATGCATGCATATATGTGCATATACAGTGGTTACTCGTATGTCAAATCAATTTCTCCATTGAAAGGAAATGTAATGCCAAGAAAAACACTGCATTTTTGTAATTTACATTTTTTTTTAATTAGAAAAGTGTATTTATAAACAGCGTTCATTGTATAAAAACACTGTACAATTAAATTGACTGGCTTAGTAAAGTGTAATGTATAGATTTACCTTGGAGATTAGACGACTTGAACATTTTGACGGAGGTGGAGGAGAAAGGATGAACAGAATGCAACATTTCTGGGTATTTCTTTGGAATAAAGTCTGAGAGTTTCTCCCACATTCCCAATATTTCCTTTATCTCACGAGTGAGACACGGGATGCTGGGCGGCGTTCACTGTGGTGTTCGCTGCGCCATATAGCGGTGGGGTATCTTGAGCTGGCTAGTAACCCGAATTTTAGCTCTCAACTCAAAGGAAAACATCGTCCGAGAGACGGCTCGTATCTCGAAAAATTCGTTAGTTGCGACACTCGTAAGTCAAGGTACCATTGCTCATATATGCGTGCAAATCTATACATATATACATACATATATATACATACATATATGTATATGTGTACGTTTATATGTAAATACATATAGAGAGACACGGGCAGACAAACAGAGGAGGATACACACACGTATATAAATAGATGGATAGATAAATTTTGATAGATATATAAATTTATGTATACATATAACACACATATATGTGTATATATATCACACGTACACACACATTCATATATTAATTTCACATACACTAACCTAATGTGTGTGCCTAATGGTCCATATGTGTATATAGCCTGTAGGAATCATGAATTGATAGAGCATAAGACTGTAATTATAGTTTATTTGTCAAAAATGTTTACATTTATAAGTTAGGCCTAACAGTATTCGCTATTTTCATAATCAGGCAGCACGCTTGGCTGTTCACTTCTTGAATTTTATGGTGAAGTGTACAGGTTTGAGGGCTGGGTTGGTGGAGTGTAGCTTCCACTGATGCTGCCGCCTCCCGAACCACCGAATCCACTTCCGGATCCAAAACTGCCTCCAAATCCACTGTTTCCTCCGAAGCTGCTGAAGCCACTGCTGCCTCCGAATCCTCCGTCTCCTCCCAAACTAATGCTTCCGCCGCTGCCACCTCCGATACCGCCACTAATACCACCGCCTACGACTCCCCCGACACCAGAGCCGCTGTCGCCGATCACCTGACCGCCGCCTTGAGTAGCAGCACCCAGAGCGCTCTGTAGATCCACTCCGCTAGGAAGAGTTGGGTTCTCGCC